AAAATGGGGGTAACCCCCCAAGTATCCATCAACAGGTAAATGGATGGATAAATAAATTATAGAATTTCTATACAGTGGAATACCACTGAGTGATGAAAAAGGATGAATTGTTGGTTTATGAAATGACCTCGGTGAATCTCAAACTCATGCTGGGTGAAATAAGCCAGGCAAAAAGAATCTGGGAACATATTGTATAATTTTATTTATATAAAGTGCTAGAGGATTCAAACTAATCTATAGTTTCAGAGTATAGATTCATGGTTGCCCAAAGCCAGGGGTAGAAGGATGGATTACAAAACGCATGGGGAAATTTTTTGAAGAGATGGAAATGTTCATTATGTTGATTGTGGTGATGATTTCATGTGTGTCTATGTATATTAAAATTGATCTAATTGTACATTTTAAATATGTGCAGCTTATTTATTTCAATTATATCTTAATAGTATAGAAAAGGAAAACTGAGGGAAGTGGGAAAAAGTACCTCAATACAAAAAGGAATGGATTTATAAAACCCGATTAATTTAAATTATATCTAAAATTTTAATGGACTTTTAGTTACCAAGTATATTTTAACACAACATTCAGATCTCTTAAAACAGTTTTTCATATTTCTGATCTTAAAGCACCAAGAAGTTATGCTATTTTTTTATGAGGTGATACACCCTTTGCAGGAATAGCATGAAATACTAATAAATTTAATTCTATCATAAAAGCTAAGAATGAATTTCACAATAGAAATAAACTCTATCATGTGTATATAACATAATATGCATCCAAGAGTTTAAAAGCTATTAAAATTAGTATGATGCCCTGCTTTTGAATTTAGGGTTAATATTCATTCATTACTTCAACAGCTTCGTTTTGTTTACTGGTGTTCGTTTGGCAAATAGCTTCATAAAAATGTATTGGTGAAAATCAAAACTGAGAATTTTATGTGCATTAACTGGTCTCTGGCGAACTGAGAAAAGGTTTCCTTTCTTCAACTGTAATGGCAGGACACTGCAAATGTAGCCCACACAGTTTTAAGGATCACGGCCCTGACATACGGAGTCCCCTAGGGAGGGCTAAAAGTAGAACTACATCGAGCAAACAAGACATTTATGACACTGCTAAACTCATTTAAAAGTGGACATATCTACAGTCAGAGTGTTTGCTTATCACAAGCACCCCAAATTAACCAAGCCTGATGTAACTTTACCACTGAAGAATTTTTGTGTTTATTGCACTGAGGGACCACAGAAATCTCAAACTCATTCACAGTGAGGAATACTGAATAAGGGATCTGGAAATTCTCCAGGGAACTCAAAGGGAAAGATGGACTTATTAACCACAATGCAGGCCACTACCTCACTCTAGTTCACTGTCTGAGTACCCACTATGTTTACAGTGTAAGACAAACCTCAAACAAATATGAGACAAACTCCAACTCTATCCTCTTCCCCTGCTTCCAACAAAATTCCCAAGTAACGGCCATGGTGAGATAAGAAAAAAAATTTTTTTTTAATTGGTACCCTAATTTTTATATATATATTTTAGAAATCCCAACTGGGGTCTTCTATGGATAAAGAAGTGTTACCGAACACGAGTTCCTTGAAACTATGAAATCATATAACTGTGATATATGCCTTCATGAGAAACCACAAAGTGATTAACAAGTGTGGCTGACTGTGAGTGCCCAAATTACAGACTAGAAAGACTTTGGAATCAATTCATCAAGTCTTTGACATCTACTGCAATACTTTTTTTTTTTAATATCACTTTTTAAAAATTTTATATTATTATGTTATGTTAATCACCATACATTACATCATTAGTTTTTGATGTAGTGTTCCAGGATTCATTGTTTGCGTATAACACCCACCACTTCTCCATGCAGTACATGCCCTCTTTAATACCATCACCAGGCTAACCCATTCTCCCACCCCCCTCCCCTCTAGAACCCTTAGTTTGTTTCTCAGAGTCCATAGCCTCTCATGGTTCGTCTCCCCCTCCAATTTCCCCCCCTTCATTTTTCCCTTCCTACTATCTTCTTCTTCTCTTTTTTAACCTATAATGTATTATTTGTTTCAGAGGTACAGGTCTGTGATTCATTAGTCTTACACAATTCACAGCACTCACATAGATCAATGCAACACTTTTTGTTAACTACTTTAATTTACTGAGACAGCCTTTTGAAAGACTGGTTACATTAACAGTCATTTAAATTTGTTGATGATAATGACCTAAATGCCTTAAAACAGTGTTGACGCTGCTCATCGAGGATGAAATTTGCCACAAAGAAGCAAACCAGCAGAAAACGGGCCCCGGCCACCACCTTCCTTAAAAGCAACTTGGAATGTTTAACGTGGCAACACAGATATTTTGTAAAGATCATATAATTTGTTCTGCCATTTTAGCCTGAGAGCGACAGTATTTACCTCATTTAGCATCCCTTTAATTTTTTTAAATTGCAATAATTATAGATTCACAATAAGTTGCAAAAACAGCTTAGAGAAGGTCCCATGTGACTATCACTCAGTTTTCTCCAATAAAGGAAGGTGTTCATCTTCCATAACTGTAGTGCAGTCGAGACCAGCAAATCGACATCAGCAAACCACAGTGAACTAAAGTACCAAGTATTTCTTTTTAACATTCAAAACCCTGAAGTATGATACACAGAAAAGTTCACATGTAAGCGTAATGAGTTTTCACAGATCAAAAACACCCGGGTAAGCAGCACTCTACCACGAAACGGAACATCTCCAGCACTCCAGAACCACCCTTCCAACCCACCTTCCTCACGATTTCTAAGAGCACCTCAGCACTGCTTTTATTGTATTTGTAAACATGGAGTCATACTGCATATTCTCTCTCGTGTCTGCCTCCTCTCGCTGAACATGTTTGGGGAATTCATTCATATTGCTGCACTGTAGTAGCAAATTGTGCATTGCGTCTTCCGTTGTGTGCATATACCATCACGTACCTATCCAGTCTACTGCTGCTGGGCATTTGGGTCGTTTCCACTTTGGGGCTCTTGTGAATAACGTTTCTAAGACTATCTGAGTGCATGTTGTGTGCATCTCTGTTGGCTGCGTACTAAGTGGGATCGAGGGGTCATGGGGTAGATGCTCACTCAGCCTTAGTAGATACTGCCACTTAGTTTTCCAGAGTGGGTGAAATTACTTTACACTCCCACCAGCGATGTGTGAGAGTTTCATTGCTCCACATCATTTTCAAAAACTTACCCATTCTGGTGGAGATTTAGTGCATTTTGGGGAAAGATTTATAGTTAAACATCGAACAGAATACTGGTGGAATAATCAAAGCAATAATTTTTCTCTAGATAATCAAGACTCTAACTGGAGAAAACAATCTAAAATGCCAACACTGGTCTTAAAATATATTCTTCTGTAATTAATGAAATCATCCTGAGTTGATGCTATGGCTGTTATCTTCCCAAAATGTCCAGTGTTATGAGTCGCTTGGGATATATAAAATAGATTTTCTGGATATTGTCAATTTCTATAACAACCTCAGAAACCGATATTATCTGAAGTGTTGGATAGATTGAGGCCCAAGTACATTGCCCAAGGTCCTTGAGTAACACCAAAACTACCATAAAGGGTATGTTTCAGAGACAGTCTTATTGGTATTTATCATCTTCCAAATAAATTGATGTTTATTACTAACTATGCGACAATAAAGAGCATCTGTAGTTGGAAAAGACTGTGTAGTGCTGTATAGGAGGAAGGACATGAAAAGTGGAAGCATGGTGCATGCAACTGCGACGAGTACAACTCTGAGTAAGTCCCATAGCCTTTCTCTTCCCTCCTCTGTGGCAGGCAGATGTCGCCCAGTGGTTGGGACGATGAAATAAATTAAGACAAATAAAGGAGATGAATACATGGTAGGAAATTAATACATGCATTTTTTTCCCTTTGTAATCTGTTTTGCCACCCTCCAGGTGCTTTGTAACTACTCCCCTGTAAGACTGACAATTGTTTTGTAAAATTCTCGAATTACCCATATATTGCAAGCCAGCTTTTGCAAGAGAAGTGAATAATTAAAGTTAAAGAAAAAAAACACAGTTTAATTCCACATTTCCACATTTTTCCTTTCCTTTCATCTCTGTTGGTGGAAACCAAGGGCCCTGTAACGTATGGCTGAACATGATTATGAACAATAATTTGGAAAAATGCAGTAACAAGGAGTAACTTGAGGTAATAGAAAACTATAACTTTAAAATAAAGTTGAAGTCTTCCAAAACTAGAGAACACTGCTCAGGGCCATATACAAACAGCTGTGTGTTTTGTGTTGTTTTTAATAGGACCAAAACCACTTGAGAAAGCCAACATTTCAATTTTAGCCTTTTAGACGGCTTTCTAACATCAACATATTAAGTAGTCAAGTGGCATTTATTCTGGAGATCAAAATGCTTCCAGAATCACATTTCACTTGTAAGAAAGCCTATGAAAACCTCTTTTATAAAAATAGATCTAATTCTGTATACTGAAAAGAAGCCCACCGTATTTGGATTATATGGCCATGAAAGAGGCCCATTTAACACCATCTGCCAATTACTACATATAAAAAGTAATTAAGAAAGGCTTCTATTAGAAGAGGCCTCCTTCAGCTCTCTGTGGTTTGGTCCTTCTGATCTTAAACCTGGTGAAAATCTCTGGAAAACATTAGCACCTATTTTAGGAAGTAGAAGAGTCAGGCTTTTATCTAGGAGAAAATTTGTAAATACTAATTTAGTGTCACATGCGTATTAAAATTTACCATAAAAACTGAGAGTAGAGAAGCCGTGATTAACAAACGTCCCGCCAACAGTCTCTGCAGTCTGGGGCAACCCCTTCACTCCCATGCCTCAGTTTCCTCCACTGTAAAAAATGGAGAGTGTTGCTGCATACTTGCTAGGGCTGTTGTGGGGCCAGAGGCTGAACGCCTGGAACCGTGTCGGGCACCACCCATCTTTCATCAGTGCTGACCGATTGTTACCGGGGGTGCAGGGAACTTACGGGGCACTATCACACCGTAGTGTTGGGTGTCGCTGATGAGCAGCTTTCGTTTCAGTTCATTCAGACCTACTCCTACAGGACCTGAAAAACAAGAGAATATAAATGCGTTATACAACAAAACACCACATACACACATCTGTAATTCACCTGGATCCCTAAGACAGAGAACATGGACCCCACTTGGCATCCCAAGTAAAGAGTATCTCGAGTTAAGGTGTACCTAAGGAAAAGCTAGTTCGTTTGTTGCTTTTTTAATATCAAAATTTAAATCCCTGCCTTTCTATTAAAAAGATGAGAAATATTTATGTTTTCAGTGAAACACACTCAAGAGTATCTGACTATGTATTACCAAGTGATGGTATCTGGAAGAGCCTAAAAAATGTACGTACGCCTGAAAAAGTCGAAGTTCAGAGTCTGGGCACGAGTCATTTCAATTTCAAACATTTTTAGAACTTAATAAAAGAACATCTTTGAACGTTAATTGTATTTTTGATCCAAATCTAATGATGTGTTTTAAATTTGCAAAACGATCCGCCACATGTACCTTGGTCAAGGTAACTCTTGTGACACTATGTTTTCAGTGGGTCCTTAAGCGTTTGAAAACTGGCACAAGCCTTAGGTGTTTAAAGCAGTCCGTGTATACAGATTAAACACCCACCACGGACAAAGCATACTGTAGATGCTGTAGCGAACAAAAGTGAACTCTGCCTTCAAAGAAACTAACTGGGTGGACAGAGTCACACAAAACAATTATGAGACTAGGGGCAACACAAAAAGCACTTCCAAGTAGGGAGTCAGAAAACAAGTTAGAAGGTCAGAAGTCCCGAATGGCTAGTGTCTCTGCCGTCAGGGTCCACTTAATGGTGGTGCATGCGCTGGGCAGAAGGCAAGCTGCAGGCCCAGACTGCCCTGGGTTAGAGTCCCCTCTTCACTACTCCTTCCCCTGGTGATGCTGGGTGCCGGGGTCTGAATGGGTGCACCCCCCACCTCCAATTCACATGTTGGAACCCCAGCGCCCAAGGTGGTAGAAGGTGGGGCTTTGCGCAGGTGCTTAGGTCATGAGGCTGGAGCCCTCAGGAAGGGATCGGTGCTCTTTTATAAAAGAGATTCCACAGAGCTCCCTCCAGTTCCAGCATGTGAAGACACACCAGATGTGTGTGACCTGGCAGAGGGCCTTGCCCTGGCACCCTGACCACCAACTGCCCAGCCTCCAGGACTGTGAGAAGTCAATTCCCGTTGTGGACAGGCCACCCCGGCTGTGGTATGTCATCACAGCAGCCTGGGGGGACTACGTCACGGACAAAGTTAACATCTTTGAACTTCGATTAGACTTCATGCTAATTCGGAAAGTAATCACGCTCCCTCTCTTGGGAGGAATCCGTGAATCCAGGCATTCGTGTTCATTCCCTTGCCTACTTCCTGTTCTGGGCTTTGAGAAGAATAAGGTTTTATGCTGGACAATGAAGAACAGACAGGTGGACAGAGAAGAGAATGGTGGGCATCCCGGGTGGAGGGAAAAGTGTGAGTGAAGATGAAGTTGGAGTTGGGAGGCTGTGCCTTCCTTGCTTTGCTGACACTTTTAGGGCCCTCCCTTGCCCCCCCCGCCCCGCTGCTGGTCACTCACTAATCTTTCCAGGAACTGCTGTCAAGTACCAATTCCCTGGGGCTCAGCTCTCCCTTTTTATAGTAAATACTCTGTAATATCCCATTTATGCCCTGAAATGGAATTCGGAGCCAATGTAACGCACTAGCCCTCCAAATTAATAAAATGCCCTCATTGTAATATATGAAAGACAAAAAAGTACTTATAATAAAATATGTATTTCAATATGTAAATGCTTGGACATGACTAGAAAACCTAATGATGTCAGATGTTTGTACCCACCTATAATATGGTTGGATTTAAGAGTAATAAGCTCAGGAACCATTCCATATGAGAAAGTACCTGAAAATGGAAGCCCAAAGGTGCTACCTGAAAATGGAAGCCCCAAAGGGGAGACTTTTTGGAATATGATAAGGGAAGGGGGAAACAGCCTCAGATGAAATAGAGAGAACAGGTCAAGACTATCAAAGTGAAGAAAATGATACTTTTGCAAATGACCCTCACTTTACATGTAAGTATAGCATAAAGATATATGGGATGGGATAGTGCTTCATTGTCCCAGAAGGGAGACCTCTTATCTTGACACCCTACCCTATGCTGATCTGTTTGGTCCCTGAATGTTTACTACAAACAGAGGGCCTTGCCCTGGCACCCTGACCATACACTCTGCAAGAGTATGTGGGATGCAGGTCGGATCTGTGTTCCACAGAAATGGCACGTCTACATTCCTGGCCCCCTCAGCCATTCTGACTTTATAAAAATAGAGTAAATGCCCATATGCTTCCCAGGGGGCAGTGCCGCCCCTGTCAAGAGCCACTGTTCTGAGACATTAGCCCCTGGCTCTTGTCATCCTCTGCACCTCAATTCCTTCCATCCCCTTGGGTGAGCTCAGCATTCACATGAATATCCTTCAAAATGCCAGCCTCTAACCTCCCTGACTCCGAGTCTCGAACGACCTTCTTCTCTACTTCGCTTTGACCACTCACAGGGCCGACCCCGAGACTCTGCCATCACCAGCAGCTCTTTCATTACTGAAATATTAAATTCAAACTTTCCGATAGGACTTAGATCTCTGATCCCTTGAGATCTGTCATTCGGTTGTGCCTCCCACACCTACTGTCGCAAGGACCTCTAGTGCTTTCTCATTTCTTTCCTTCTTATCTAGCAGCCCTTCATGCCTTCACTTCCATGGGCCATCATGTCTCCTATTTTGCTAATACTCTCAAATCTCTTACACACTGTCCTTCTATCACATTTGCCAAGGAAACCTCCAGTCTAAGATCCATCCCGCAGCCCCTCCCCACACCTAGACGAGTGCCGAAAACCCAGGCAGCCCTGGAGCAGTCCTGCCATACATTCCTACTCTCCACGAACAAACTAGACTTACACGCTCTCTGGCAAGTATTCCATGTTCTCCTATCTACTGTATTTCTCACATCCCCACGATGGTAACTGCAATGCTCCATTCCTCTGTAGCCACATGTGGGAGCCACCAGCTGGCTTACATACCCCCTACTGTCAAACAATTGCCAAAGGCTGTCAATTTTACCCCCTAAATAGCCTGCAGGTCTACCATCTTGATTGCTGCTGCTGCCACCCTAGTCCAGGGCGCTGCCATGTTCACCTCCTCCCCTGGACCAGCCTCCTCAGCTGCCCCACACCTGCTCAACAGCCACCTTAACCCCCCCATCACCAGCAGCCAGAGGTCCTTCTAAGGAGCTATTCTGATCCTGTCACTCCCTTGCTTAACATTCTTGGAAATGTAGTTTCCAGAGGCCCTTCCGAAAAAGATTAAAATCTTCACACGGTTTACAAGGCTCCATGTGACCGGTCCCTGCCTCATCCTCTTGCCTCGAAGCATTTGCTCAAGTTCCCTCCTTCATCTGGAGCCCCAGCGAGTTCTGAAATGTCAGAGCTTGGCTCAAACAGATCTTCCTCAAGCAAGTCTGCAAGACTGTCCTGACCCTGTCGATCATGTTTCTCATTTTTAGGTTTTCAGAGCATCCTGTCTATCTTCCCAATACTTAAAAGTCGCAATTCAACAACTGGGTAATACATCGCTTCATGGCCTGTCTTTCCCACTAGACAGAGGCCCCATGAGGGCAAGAATCCTATTATGTCACTTACCATCCCCATAAAGCAAGTCCTCAATAAAAATCTGTGGAGTGAATGCAACTTCTAGTATCACCATCACCACCTCCAGCTCAGTAGAAGACTTCATCTACTCCAGAGAAAACAGAGTCCAACAAGTGGAAAGGTCTTTGAAGTCCTTTCTAGAAACTGTATCTAAACCCACCTAGACCATCATCTAGATACTTCTCTGCAGTCATACACTTTTACACCTTCTCTCAGAGATCACTCTTCCTGAATCTTCCACCTCTTCCAGCTAGCTCCTTTCTGTCAGCACTTACAACGAATAAATTCTCTCCTACCTTAAAACAACAACAAACTTCCCTTCACCTTAAGATGTCCTTCCTGTCTCTGCTCCTTCTCACCAGCATTTCACATTCTGCCTCCACTGCCTACAGAATCAAACAGAAATTCTCTGACAGGTTTATACAGATTGCACCTTGTGAGCTACCTCTGTGTCTCTGATTTTCATCCTTGCCACTCCTTCCCATGCCTTGCACACTCCAGCTACATGAGGTCCCCCTGCTTCTAGAAATGTGGCAGGTTCTCCTTTGTGTTTTGGGGGCCTTACCACATGCTGCCTGCTTTTGCAAGGACGCTCTTGTCCTCTTCATGTGTTTTTGGTTTTTTTTGTTTTGTTTTTTTGCTAAAGATTTATTTATTTATTTGAGAGAGTGAGAATGAGAGAGAGAGAGAGAGTACATGAGAGGGGGAAGGGTTAGAGGGAGAAGCAGGCTCCCCGCTGAGCAGGGAGCCCGATGCGGGACTCGATCCAGGGACTCCAGGATCATGACCTGAGCCGAAGGCAGTCGCTCAACCAACTGAGCCACCCAGGCGCCCCTATTTTTGTTTTGTTTTGAGAGAGAGAGAGAGAGACAGAGAGAGAGAGATGCACTGGGGGGGGAGGGGCAGAAGGAGACAGAGGGTGAGGGAGAGTCTTTAAGCAGACTCCACACTGAGCACAGAGCCCAATAGGGGGCTCGACCTCAGGATCCTGAGATCACGACCTGAGTCGAAACCAAGAATTGGATGCTTAACTGACTGAGCCACCCAGGTGCCTCTACACGGGCTAGTTCTTCTCTGTTGTTTCAGCTTAGGCATACTTCAGGGAATCTGCCCTAACAACTTTAAATTTGGGTTTGGTACCAAGTTCATGCATTCCCTTTGCTCCCAATTCAAAGGACTAATCCCACTATACTGTAATTGTCGGTTTACCTGTCTCTCTCCTTTAACAGCCTGTGAGCTCTGTGAAAACAGGGGTGTCATCGACTTGTTTACCAGCTGGCAAACTGTAGGCACTTGTTAGTTTTATTCATTTCAATTATACTAAGTAATTCTGCTGTTCTGG